TCACAAAATTTTGCAATTTACTGAACAGTCTTAAATTCAGTTATAAATTTTAAAAAAAATGCAAAGATTTCTCAAAATCTCTATATAAAGTAGAAATATCTTGTAAATTTCTAAAAAGTTTCACAAAACTAGAAATATCTTGATAATGTCTAAAAAGTTAACTGAATAATGAAAACTTGTAATTTACTGAACAGTTGAGTTTTAGGACATTTTTCTAAAAAGTCAACTGAATAGTGAAAATCTTCTAATTTTGTCCAAGTTTTTCTAGAAAATCAACCAAATAGTGATAGATTTCACAAAATCTCTATAAAAAGTAGAAATATCTTGTAAATTTCTCAAAAGTCAACTGAATAGTCATATATATCACAAAAGTAGAAATATCTTGAAAATGTTCTAGAAACAATATTACAATCAGTTACCAGTTTAACAAAAAATTCAAAGATTTCGCAAAATCTATATAAAAAGGAGAAACATCTTGCAAATTTACAAAAAAGTCAACTGAATAATGAAATCTTGTAATTTACTGACCAGTTGAGTTTTAGGACATTTTTCTAAAAAGTCAACTGAATAGTGTAATATTTCACAAAATCTTCTAATTTGTCAACGATTTTTTCTAGAAGGTCAACCAAATACTGAAATATTTCACAAAATCTTGCAATTTACTGAAGTCAACTAAATATAGACTTTTTTCATTTCTTTTATAAAGTCGCCCAAATAGTGAAATATTTCACAAAATCTTGCAATTTACTGAACAGTCTTGCATTCAGTTACAAATTAAACAAAATGCAAAAAATCTCTATAAAAAGTAGAAATATCTTGCAAATTTGTAAAAAGTCAACTGAGTAGTCATATATTTCACAAAACTAGAAATATCTTGATAATGTCTAAAAAGTCAACTGAATAATGAAATCTTGTAATTTACTGACTAGTTTTAGGACATTTTTCTAAAAAGTCAACTGAATAGTGAAGTTTTTCACAAAATCTTCTAATTTCTCAACTATTTTTTCTACAAAGTCAACCAAATACTGAAATATTTCATAAAATCGTGCAATTTACTGAAGTCAACTAAATAGAGACTTATTCCATTTCTTTTATAAAGTCACCCAAATAGTGAAATATTTCACAAATGTTGCAATTTACTGAACAGTCTTAAATTCAGTTACAAATTTAAAAAAAAAATGCAAAGATTTCTCAAAATCTCTATATAAAGTAGAAATATCTTGTAAATTTCTAAAAAGTCAACTGAATAGTTATATATTTCACAAAAGTAGAAATATCTTGAAAATGTTCTAGAAACAATATTACAATCAGTTACCAGTTTAACAAAAATTCAAAGATTTCACAAAATCTATATAAAAAGTAGAAATATCTTGCAAATTTATAAAAAGTCAACTGCATAGTGAAATATTTCACAAAATCTTCTAATTTGTCAACGATTTTTTTTTCTAGAAATTCAACCAAATAGTGAAATTTCACAAAATCTTCTAATTTCTCAACTATTTTTTCTACAAAGTCAACCAAATAGTGAAATATTTCATAAAATCGTGCAATTTACTGAAGTCAACTAAATAGAGACTTATTCCATTTCTTTTATAAAGTCACCCAAATAGTGAAATATTTCACAAAATTTTGCAATTTACTGAACAGTCTTAAATTCAGTTACAAATTTAAAAAAAAAATGCAAATATTTCTCAAAATCTCTATATAAAGTAGAAATATCTTGTAAATTTCTAAAAAGTCAACTGAATAGTCATGGTTGGTTGGTTGGTTTACGTGGTAGTTCACTACACGCGAACTGTCAAGTAGAATCAAAGAGACTCCGTTTTGACCGGACCACTCCACTCGTCAGATGTTGAATTTGTAGTATTAGATCCAGCCCGTAGCTGTGAGAAATCTGAGGATATCATTAAGCCTAAAGACAGATATCTCGCCAAGGTTAGATATGAAGTAATTGCCAAGGAAGCGGTTTCTCTTTACGGCCAGAGCAGGGCATTCACAGAGGAGATGGAAGACCGTTTCTTCCTTTTCCCTGTCTTTGCAACTGCGACAGTGATCATTGAAAGGGAGCCCAAGCCGACTTGCGTGTCTGCCTATTACCCAGTGTCCTGTTATTACTGCTATCAGCCTCGATATGTCCCGCATACTTCGGTTTATAAGGTGTCTTGTGCGTTTCTCATTGAAGGAGGGCCACAATAGCTTGGCACCTTTACATGTGTCTATGTTATTCCACCTATTTTCAGCTTTTTGAAGAAAGAATCTGAGGATATTGCTCTTGATATAACTTAACGGAGTTGCTACTGGAACGGCGTCGGAGATATCAAGAGCAGATCCCGTTCTTGCAAGCTCATCTGCCTGTTCATTACCGTAGTAGTCCCTATGCGCAGGGACCCAAACAAGGGTAATGTCAGACAGCCGACCCAGCATTGACAGATCCTTCTTGCATTGTCTGACTAATAAGGAAGTAGTAGTATAAGAGTTTAGTGAGAGAAGTGCCGCTTGACTATCGACAAAGATTCCTATGTTGCCGCGAATATTGAGGTCATGTAATACCCTACAGGCTGACATTATCGCAAAAATTTCAGCCTGAAAGACACTACAGTTGTTGGGAAGACGATGGGATATACTTACCCCAGCTTCTTCACAAAAGACACCAGAACCAACGCCGCAGTTCATTTTAGAACCATCTGTAAAGATTCTGGTGGTATATTCGCTCGGTAGATTACCTCTACACCACTCGCTCCTGGAAGGAACTCTGACTTTGAAGACTCTATCAAAGTCCGTGTGTGGGGTAATATAGTCGGATGGTTGGTTCAAGATTGGAGGTAACAAGCTTAAAATCTTAGCGTGTCCATATGTTCTTGATATCCAACTTCCGGATGAGTTAAGTCTTACTGCGCTACAAGCAGATATGGTCATTATGTGCAGATCTATGGGTAGGATGTGCAATATAGTGTTCAGAGCTTCTGAAGGACTAGTTCTTATAGCACCTGTTATCCCAATGCATGCTGATCTCTGAACTTTGTATAGTTGATCCACAACAAACTTCTTCTTAGTTGAAGTCCACCATACAAGAGATCCGTATGTAAGAATAGGACGTACTATAGCTGTGTACATCCATTTAACTATGTTGGGACTAAGTCCCCATTTCATTCCAAACATCTTACGACAGGTATAGTAGGCGACCGTTGCCTTCTTGACTCTGTGCTGGATGTTGAGTTTCCATGATAATTTGGAGTCTAGAATAGTTCCTAGATATTTGGCATTGTTTGATAAGGGGATTTCGCGGTTTTTTAACCGTGGCAGGTTGAAGCTTGGAATCTTGGTCTTTGTTGTGAATAGTACCAGTTCTGTCTTGCTTGGATTTACTCCTAGACCACTGTCTGTGGCCCAGTTACTGAGTAGCACCAGAGCACCAGACATAATATCGCTAATCACGTCTGGGAACATTCCTGATACCAGTATCACAACGTCGTCCGCATAGGCAACGACCTTTATCCCTCTGTTGTCCAGTTCCTTAAGAATCGTATTAACAACGATAAGCCAAAGTAGTGGAGAGATTACACCGCCCTGAGGTGTGCCTCGTTCAACTCGTTTGGACTTAACGCTATTACCAAGACTTGCAGTAATTATTCTAGATTTCAACATAGTTACCAACCAGTTGCTGATATATTCTTCAACATCCAGATTAGCGAGAGCTTGTTGAATTGCAGAAGTATTTACGTTATTGAAGGCACCTTCTATGTCTAAGAAGGCTCCCATAGTGTATTGTTTGAATTCGAGGGATCTTTCTATAACTCTTACAACCTCATGTAGAGCTGTCTCAGTAGATCGTCCTTTAAGGTAGGCATGTTGACTGGTTGAAAGCCGTGATGAGCTCTCTAGCCGTTGCCTAATATGTGAGTCGATGAGTCTTTCCAGCGTTTTGAGTTGAAAAGATGAAAGACTAATTGGACGAAAGTCCTTCGCATTTTCATGACTCCTTTTGCCAGCTTTGGGAATAAAAACGACCTTAACCTTTCTCCAGTTTACCGGAACATGGTTGAGAGAGAGGCTGAGCGTGTATATTCTATGAAGCCAGGGGATGATATATTCTTTTGCACTTTGTAACATCTTTGGCAAAATGCCATCAGGCCCTGGTGATTTGAAAGGGGAAAAACTATCAATCGCCCATGAGATTCTATCATAAGAGATGATATTTTCATTGATTCCCGTTAGAGTCCTACTGTCAGTGAAGATTTCCTTGACAGCATCTTTGCAGCCAGGGAAGTGAGTATTCAGTAGGATGTCAAGAGATTCTGCCGAGGATTCTGACCAAGTGTCGTCCTTCCTCTTAATATAGGTTGGATTAGATTGGCCTTTAGCAAGAATTTTGCTAAGTCTAGCAGAATCCTTTGTGTTATCTATAGATTCGTAGAAACTTCTCCATGAGGTTCTTTTTGCGAGTGCTATAGCTTTCTTATAAACTTTTAGTTTGTCGCGGTATGGCTGCCACGATTTATTGTTGTAGCATGTGTTAAAGGCCCTACGTGTTTCCTTACGTAGCTTAGATAGCTCCGAATTCCACCATGGAGGGAAGCTTTTCTTTGCCTTTGTGATTGGGCAGGAGACTTCGAAAGCCTTACCTAAGACTTTGCTAAAGTGTTCTTCTATCTTTTCAAGCCCAGTGATTGAATCATCAACCACTGGAGTTTTCTTGAGCTTATGTCTAAGGATCCCTTTATACTTGAACCAATCGGTTCTTCTTGGGTTCCTATAGACCATTTTTTCCGTCGAGTTTTGTAATATAATATCGAAGAGGATCCAATTGTGATCTGAAAAAGATTTTTCATTGGATACCCTCCACCTATCAACTGATATTTTAGATCTGTCGCTAATGAGTGTAATGTCCAGTACTTCCTCCCACCCATTATAATTATCCGTACTTGGAAAAATGAATGTAGGTTTGTTGCCAGAGTTACATATGTTTAGGTTGTTAGTATTAATGAAATTAAAGATTGACTCACCCCTTTCATTAGTTTCGCTGCTACCCCAGATTGTATGCCTTGCATTGGCATCACAGCCTAGGATTATGTCGTCAGATGTCTCAATTACGGCCAGGAGATCGCTCACTTCGTCTGGTGGTGCTGTCTTCTCGTGTGCCATATAGCTTGAGGCAATCATGAAGCTTCTGTTGTGCGGTAGCTCGACCTTTGCGACTGTTAGGTCTTCTGAGCTAAGCTGTGTACAAAGAAAAATGTTAATCGATTTTTTAGCAATTAGACATGATCGTGGCCTACCATTACTTCTTGCATATAGTATGTTGTATGTAGATGCTGGGAACCCTTTAACTTCTGAGTCCGTGACCCAGGGTTCTTGAACCAGGCAAATGTCCAGGTTTTCCTCGGCTAGGAGAACCCGTAGATTGTCTGAAGCACACTTTGAGTGCTTCAGATTAATTTGCACTATCTTTAGTGCCATTGTCAGGTTTATCAGGTGGCTCGGAGAGTTTCATGCCAGTGAGCAGAGAGTTGGCAGCTTCCATCTCATCCGTCTCTTCACTCCCCGATTTTGTCGGCCGGAACACCTTTACTTTGGCGCCCCTCACCCCAAAGAACAGCCTAAAGCCCACCTTCTCCAGCTCAACGGAGCCAGCTTCTGTGATGGCGAGAATTAGACATGTGTGCCCTTCGCCTTGTTCTGTGCGGATGATAGCCCAGTCATTCATGTGTATGTTGGGATTCTGCCGTTTGAGGCATTCCAACATCTTGGGTGCTTCGGCGCTCATCTTTGGTAACCAAACTCTTGCACGAGGTCTCATTGGAATTTCCTCAGCAGGGATTAGTTTAAGGCTTAAACCTACCCATGCATCTCTAATCTTAGTGATGCATTTGTTGAGGAACCCCTTTGAGAATTCGTCCAGGCATTTGATCACCCTGTATCCCCGGTGAATCTCACTGGAGTCAAAACGGGGTACCTTGTCGTCTTTGTTAGTGAGCAAGTGTTCCATAACGAGCTCAGTTAATTTAGACTCAATGGCACCCCATTCTGTTACTACAGGGTTGATGGCCCCATCTTTTTCAGTAACCAGAGCCATTAGGAGGTGGTCCTTCACCACTTCGTTAAATGGTCTTCTGGCAGTTGTCGTGATGGCTACAGGTCTCCATCCCCCACTTACAAGTGGGGGATGGGGATGGGGAGGAGACGGGATTGTTTATAGGAAAGATTGGGAATTGAGGATAAGAGGGATAACTTTGGTCATGAAGGCTTTTGAGTTCAGTGTCTTCCAAATACAAAGGGCTTATGCCGAGTGTATTTGCAATGCAAAAGAACCACAGCCAACACTAAAGCCACCACATCGCGGCAAGATTGTTATCCAGGTGGTGAATAGTCATATATTTCACAAAAGTAGAAATATCTTGAAAATGTTCTAGAAACAATATTACAATCAGTTACCAGTTTAACAAAAAATTCAAAGATTTCACAAAATCTATTTAAAAAGGAGAAACATCTTGCAAATTTACAAAAAATTTCATAAAATCTTGCAATTTACTGAAGCCAACTAAATAGATACTTATTTCATTTCTTTTATAAAGTCACCCAAATAGTGAAATATTTCACAAAATCTTGCAATTTACTGAACAGTCTAGAAACAGTCTTACATTCAGTTAAAAATTTAACAAGTAAGAGTGTTATATTCGGCTGTGCCGAATCTTGTATACCCACCATCAAATCATTGCCAAAAAGGAATGCTTCCTTATAAATAAACTTTGATATTTAAGAATCGATGCTTTTGTTATTATCAAAACAATTTTCTCATTTATTACATCTATGTATAGGGAAATTTTTGTCGAATTTTGTCGCTGTCCTTGTATTTTTAAGGTAGCAAAAAGCGTTAAAGTTATTTTCTGAGGGGACGTTTGGTCAATTATGGACCGATCCTCGTCAAATCTTCTATAACGATTTTAGTTTAGGCTAGTAATGAGCGTTAAAGCCATTTTCCGAAGGGAACCGTATATGGGGGTAGGATAAATTATGGACCGATCGTTATAAAATTTTACAAAGCGATTTAGGTTTCTGTAGAATAAGTTTATGTCGAATTTCATCGCTATAGCTGCTTTTTTAGTCAGTTATGAGCGTTAATGTCGTTTTCTGAGGGGGACCTTATATGGGGGATAGGGTCAATTATGGACCGATTCTTATAAAATTTTACAATGACATTAAGATTCCAAAAAAATATGTTTAAGTCGAATTTCATAGCTATAGCTGCTTTTTTTTAGTCAGTTATGAGCGTTAATGTCATTTACTGAGGGGGATCTTATATGGGGGATAGGGTCAATTATGGACCGATCCTTATAAAATTTTAGAATAATATTAAGATTCCTATAAGATATGTTTATGTCGAATTTCATTGCTATAGCTGCTTCTTTTAGACAATTATAAACGTTAAAGCCATTTTCTGAAGGGGACCTTATATGGGGGATAGGGTCAATTATAGACCGATCCTTATAAAATTTTACAATGACATTAAGATTCCAAAAAAATATGTTTAAGTCGAATTTCATAGCTATAGCTGCTTTTTTTAGTCAGTTATGAGCGTTAATGTCGTTTTCTGAGGGGGACCTTATATGGGGGATAGGGTCAATTATGGACCGATTCTTATAAAATTTTACAATGACATTAAGATTCCAAAAAAATAAGTTTATGTCGAATTTCATCGCTATAGCTGCTTTTTTTAGTCAGTTATGAGCGTTAATGTCGTTTTCTGAGGGGGCCTTATATGGGGGATAGGGTCAATTATGGACCGATTCTTATAAAATTTTACAATGACATTAAGATTCCAAAAAAATATGTTTAAGTCGAATTTCATAGCTATAGCTGCTTTTTTTTAGTCAGTTATGAGCGTTAATGTCGTTTTCTGAGGGGGACCTTATATGGGGGATAGGGTCAATTATGGACCGATTCTTATAAAATTCTACAATGACATTAAGGTTCCTAAAAAATATGTATATGTCGAATTTCATCGCTATGGCTGCTTTTTTTAGTCAGTTATGAGCGTTAAAGTCATTTTCTGAGGGGGACCTTATATGGGGGATAGGGTCAATTATGGACCGATCCTTATAAAATTTTACAATGATATAAAGGTTCCTAAAAAATATGTTTATGTCGAATTTCATTGCTATAGCTGCTTTTTTTTATTCAGTTATGAGTGTTAATGTCATTTTCTGAGAGGGACCTTATATGGGGGATAGGGTCAATTATGGACCGATCCTTATAAAATTGTACAATGATACTAAGATTCCTAAAAAATATATTTATTTCGAATTTCATCGCTATAGCTGCTTCTTTTAGTCAGTTATGAACGTTAATGTCATTTTCTGAGAGGGACCTTATATGGGGCTAGGCGAAATCGTGGACCGGTATTGCCCATTTTCAATACCAAACAAACTGCATCAATATAAAATATTTGTGAAAAATTTCAGCTCGCTATTTGCTTCCGTTTGGACTCTATCGTGTTTTCAACAGACAGACGGACAGACGGACGGACATGGCTAGATCGTCTTAGAATTTAATGAGGATCCATAATATATATACTTTTATGGGTCTTAGATGAATATTTCGATGTGTTACAAACGGAATGACAAAAACAATATACCCCCCATCTTTTTTGATGGTGGGTATAAAAAATGCAAAGATTTCTCAAAATCTCTATAAAAAGTAGAAATATCTTGTAAATTTGTAAAAAGTCAACTGAATAGTCATATATTTCACAAAAGTAGAAATATCTTGAAAATGTTCTAGAAACAATCTTACAATCAGTTACCACTTTAACAAAAAATTCAAAGATTTCACAAAATCTATCTAAAAAGTAGAAATATCTTGCAAATTTATAAAAAGTCAACTGCATAGTGAAATATTTCACAAAATCTTCTAATTTCTAAACTATTTTTTCTAAAAAGTCAACCAAATAGTGAAATATTTATCGTGCAATTTACTGAAGCCAACTAAATAGAGACTTATTTCATTTCTTTTAAAAAGTCCCCAAATAGTGAAATATTTCACAAAATCTTGCAATTTACTGAACAGTCTTAAATTCAGTTACAAATTAAAAAAAATGCAAAGACTTCTCAAAATCTCTATACAAAGTAGAAATATCTTGTAAATTTCTAAAAAGTCAACTGAATAGTCATATATTTCACAAAAGTATAAATATCTTGAAAATGTTCTAACAACACTGTTACAATCAGTTACCAGTTTAACAAAAAATTCAAAAATTTCACAAAATCTATATAAAAGTAGAAATATCTTGCAAATTTATAAAAAGTCAACTGCATAGTGAAATATTTTACAAAATCTTCTAATTTGTCAACGATTTTTTCTAGAAAGTCAACCAAATATTGAAATATTTCACAAAATCTTGCAATTTACTGAAGTCAACTAAATATAGACTTTTTTTCATTTCTTTTATAAAGTAACCCAAATAGTGAAATATTTCACAAAATCTTGCAATTTCCTGAAAAGTCTAGAAACAGTCATACATTAAGTTCCAAATTTAAAAAAAATGCAAAGATTTCTCAAAATCTCTATAAAAAGTAGAAATATCTTGCAAATTTGTAAAAAGTCAACTGAATAGTCATATATTTCACAAAAGTAGAAATATCTTGAAAAAGTCTGAAAAGTCAACTGAATAATGAAATCTTGTAATTTACTGACCATTTGAGTTTTAGGACAATTTTCTAAAAAGTCAACTGATTAGTGAAATATTTCACAAAATCTTCTAATTTCTCAACTATTTTTTCTACAAAGTCAACCAAATAGTGAAATATTTCATAAAATCGTGCAATTTACTGAAGTCAACTAAATAGAGACTTCTTTCATTTCTTTAATAAAGTTACCCGAATTTACTGAACAATCTAGAAACGGTCTTACATTCAGTTACAAATTTAAAAAAATGCAAAGATTTCTCAAAATCTCTATAAAAAGTAGAAATATCTTGTAAATTTCTAAAAAGTCAACTGAATAGTTATATATTTCACAAAAGTAGAAATATCTTGAAAATGTTCTAGAAACAATATTACAATCAGTTACCAGTTTAACAAAAAATTCAAAGATTTCACAAAATCTATATAAAAAGTAGAAATATCTTGCAAATTTATAAAAAGTCAACTGCATAGTCAAATATTTCACAAAATCTTCTAATTTGTCAACGATTTTTTCTAGAATGTGAACCAAATAGTGAAATATTTCACAAAGCCTTGCAATTTACCGAAGTCAACTTATTTAATTTCTTTTATAAAGTCACCCAAATAGTGAAATATTTCACAAAATCTTGCACTTTACTGAACAGTCCAGAAACAGTCTTACATTAAGTTCTAAATTTAATAAAATGCAAAGATTTCTCAAAATCTCTATAAAAAGTAGAAATATCTTGCAAATTTGTAAAAAGTCAACTGAATAGTCATATATTTCACAAAAGTAGAAATATTTTGAAAATGTCTAAAAAGTCAACTGAATAATGAAATCTTGTAATTTACTGACCAGTTGAGTTCTAGGACATTTTTCTAAAAAGTCGACTGAATAGTGAAATTTTTTAAATTTTGTCCAAGTTTTTCTAGAATGTCAACCAAATAGCAATAGATTTCACAAAATCTCTATAAAAAGTAGAAATATCCAGCAAATTTCTAAAAGTCGACTGAATATTGAAATATTTCACAAAAGTAGAAATATTTTGCAATTTTCAAAAAAGTCAACGAATTGCGACATACTTCAACTGAACAGTCAAGAAACAGTCTTGCAATCAGTTACAAATTTAAAAAATGGCAAAGATTTCTCAAAATCTTTATAAAAAGTAGAAATATCTTGCAAATTTCTAAAAAGTCAACTGAATAATGAAATCTTGTAATTTACTAGTAGAAATATCTTGAAAATGTCTAGAAAGTCAACTGAATAATGAAATCTTGTATTGTAATTTACTGAACAGTTGAGTATTTTGCAAATTTCTAAAAAGTCAACGAAAGATTTCACAAAATATATATAAAAAACGAAATATCTAGCATTCTATTTCACAAACTCTTCTAATTTGTCAACGATTTTTTCTAGAATGTCAACCAAATAGTGAAATATTTCACAAAGCCTTGCAATTTACCGAAGTC